CTGCAAATTATGCTATTTACACTTGCATATTCAGAAGAAACAGTAAATAGATAGGTATTTTAAGTTGATATCTAAAAACTACCTTGGCCATCACCAGACCAGAGTGACAGTAAGCTACAGCCAGGAGTCCAGTGTCCTGTGTGTAACCGTGCAGTGGGAAAAGAGAAGTTTTCTACCCGCAGCTACACTCGGCCTTCTCCATGCCTCCTGCGTTCCCCACCCCAGGCTGAGGCTGAGCAGGGCCACCCTACTCCTGCATGAGGGAAGCCCCTTCTCGAACAGGCCTGGGCCTCAGTCTGGAACTGGCCGCCCCCTCCCCAGACCAGGCTACCCTTCCTGCTCTGCTTGGAGTGGTAACGAGTCGAACAGGCCCCTCCGCGAGTGCTACGCGGCGCGCAGACCCGCGTGTGTGGGGCTGTGGACCAAACAGGCTGAGCCGGGCCCGCCGGCCTCACCGCTCCGAAGTGCCCTCACCCTGATTAGGACAGAGCCCGTCCTCCCTGTCCTGTCCCGTCCTCTCGAAGGTGTGGCTGGGGCCCCACCGGCCACTCAGGCCAGCAGACCGCGCCCGGCGGGAAAGGCCTGAGCTCAGAAACGCTTCGGGCTCTGTAAGCAAGGCGAGCCCCGCCGGGGCTGAAGCAGAGGAGACCTGCCCGACGACGGTGGCTCGAGCCTCACTAGAAACTCACCCGAAGCCGGGGGGTGGGGGGCAAAGGCGGAGGACGCCCACTCAAGTCCGCATTCACTTTGCTTCCGTAAGCCCCCGGGAAGGAAGTGCATCTGAGGGTGGGAGACCGCACACAGCCAGCCAGCGCCACCTGCGATTCCTGGGAGGTGCCAGAAAGGCGGCCCCGGACTCGGGGGCCCTGAGGTTGCCTGTCATTAGTCTCCCCAGCTGGGTTTCTAGACACAGGCTGTCTAGAGAGCTTCGTCTCCGAGAACGGGAGCAAGAAATGACCGGCCCCACCGCTGAGAAACCACTGCAGCCAGTGAGCTCTGAGTGCTCCCTCGACGAAGGAGGGGTGCAGTGTGAACCCCGCCTGACTGCCCAGGGCTGGTCTGAGCGTGAGACCCTGTCCTGGTCAGGGAAAGGGACGCATCTAATGGTGGCACTTCTGACACGACAGGGCAGAGAAGAGGTATTTGGGGAATCGGCTTGCCCGGCGGAATTCCAGTTACAGCTCGTGTGGGTGTCCTCAGGACCCCAGGGCTCAGTGCCACAGACGATGTACTCCGCGAGGCCAACCCAGTGACACGTATCACAGAAGGAGCCCGCCTGGAGCAACGTGTCTCGCCCCTGACACACCAAACTCCGGAGCCGGAGGTGGGGAGCAGTGCTCAGCCCAGAGAAGACGGAGGAAAAGGCTGGACGCTGAAGAAGTCACATGTGGAGAACGGACCTCTTTAAGGGTCTTCTGAGTGATCTAAAACTCCTATCTGTCCCTACCCCAAATTCCCATGAGCAACAACAAAAATCTGACTTTACAGAACAGCGGAAATATTTAGGTTAGAGTCCAAAAAAGGAAGAAGAGCCTTCTATCTGTGTCCCTAAGCAGGAAAATGGCATCAAGCCTGCACTTGTGGGGCTAGGAGAGGGCAGGCGCCTGGGCCAGGCTCCAGCTCCAGAGGGGACTGTGGTGCCTGACTGACACGAGCCTCCCTCTGAGGCCTGAGCTGCCTGAGGAAAGGCCAACACCTGGCATCACAGCCAGGCCCACTTTTGTCCTTTCCCTTCCATGAGCCCAGAAGTGCTTCTGGAGAAAGCATTTTCTGCTCCTCAGAAAAGTTACCCACCTACTATCAGAACACGATCGCCCCCGCCCCCAAGCCCCCAAAAGAGACAAAACCAGGCTCCAAAGTCTAAAAGGCAACCTCCGCGGAAGGGAGCCTGACAAGCCCCAGGCCGGCCTCCCAACAGGCCTTGGAGGCACAGCTTTGACCATAACCTTCCCCTGGTTCCCAGCACTGACAAGACAAAGCTTCACTCCAGACAGCATGCGGTGTTCTAGGTTTCCAGCGGTTTCCTAGCACCACCTGCCTAGGGTAGCACCCAACCCCTCACCTCCAGTCTGGGGCTCCAGAGGACCAGGGTGCGGGCAGACCACGTGCAAAGCACCTGCAGCTGCGGGGCCTCCGGTGGGTGCCTTCCCTTCTGGGAGATGCGGGGGAGCCTCGCCTACTGCCACGGGCCTGCCGGGGGCTCGGGGAGGGCATGTGTGCAGGCACTCAGATCGGGCCCTGCCACGGCAGCTCCTGTCGCTGCGCAGGAAGCACATAGCCCCCTCCTCCCCGAAGGAGAATGAGGGTGGCTTCCGGCCCCCGGACTTAGCACCTCTCCGATGCTCCACTACAGCAGCTCCCTTCCCCTGCCCAGAAACTTCGGGGGGAGGAGGGGGAGATCTGGAAAGCAGAAAGCACTATATACATTTATAGTTGTTTTCATTGCCCCAACTACATCGAGCACCTTGGGGCAGGCACCATGAGTGACTCACCTCACTGTCCCCCATACCCAGTGGAAGGCCTGGCCTCAGGCAGGCTGTGATACACCCAGCAGGGCTGGCTTTAGCCTGTGACACACACACCTCTTGCCTCAAGAGTGCGTAGGCTTCTTGAGGGTCCCGACCGTCCTGGGGCTGGCTGCATGCGGACGGAAGTGAGTCCTGCCTGGAAGCCCTCCTGCCCTGAACTCAATTCTGGAGAGAGAGGGAGCTCACTTTGACCCTCACACCAAGGCCCCAGGCCAAACTCTAACTCTGGCTTAAGACCGAATGCTCAATTTGTCTTGCCCTGGTCAATGGTCTTTAGGACAGCAAGAGCGAAAAAGCCTGGATGTGGGGGATTTTATCAAGCCCTGCCCAAAGTGGGGGGACTCCCTGCCCCCTAAAGCCAATGGCCAGAAAGACCAACTCTCTTGTCCTCTCATTCCGACTTACCAACTCTAACCAAGTTCTTGCCCAAAAAGCCCAGACGAAATACAGATACCATTTGTAACCACAGATCTGGTCTTCCGCGACGAGAGTGCTGGATCTAAAACGCATCTGTGATGAGTTTACCATCTTGCACACAACCTCTCCCCGGCTCCGGAGCGCCCGGAGAATGAGGTCCCATGCTCTTTGGCCCGGCACTCAGGGCCCTTCCCAGGCTGGGCCCCATGTGCCCGCCTGACGGCGCGGTTCCTGGTGTTCCACACACACACCCTCTCCTCTCCAGAGCAGCTTCCTTCCTACGGCTCTCCTGATTCACCCTTAGCCCTTCTCTCCTCGGGGCCCCGGTCACCTTGGACTTCCCTGAGCGCCATTCTGCTCTGTATTTAGCTCTCACCTGTCAACGCACCCCCCGTCCCCGCCACCCCCGCCGACACACTCAAAACCTGTGATCCTTACGGGCCAGGACTGCACCTTCCTCCTCAGCGCTCACACAGGACAGACGCTCTCAGGAAGCCCTGGTGGGAACGTGGATGGGCCAGGCAGCGGAAGGACGGACGTTTCCAATCATGTTATTCAATAAGCCAGGGGGTGAGCGTCTCTACAGTCTAAGACAGGTTGGCAAAACATGGCCCACTACCTGTTGAGCGTTGGTTTAAGTACAGTTGGCGGGGTCACAGCCGCGCTGCGTTCAGCACCGTCTCTGGCTGCGCCCCCACAGCCTGGCTCGTGAGTCTTGAGTCGTCCGTGGAGCCCGAAAGACTGTCTGTCCCTTTCCAGAGTCCGCCAACGTCAGCACTAAGGCAGTGCTCCCACAGCCTTCCTCATTAGGATGCACACAGGTGACACTAAGGTGGCCTGCTGGGACAGAAAGCAAGGCCGCTTGTAGTTAAGAGACACTGGGCCCTGGGGTTCTGGCCACCCCAAAGGCTGCAGGGATCCGTGTCTCAGAGCACCTGTAACTTTTCATTGCTCTGCCCTGAAGGTTCAAAACTGTAGCTGCCTCTTTAACCTTAATCCCCAGCAGAGCTACAGAAGTAACAGGTGCAGAGAGCCACCCTGACGCCGCGGTCCTGCGTGCCACTGTCCAGGATGAGCCCCAGGTGGCAGGCCTGAGCAGACACCAAAGTCATACGTGCTGTTCTTCCCCTCGTTAAAGTCCTCTGTAAAGCCAGTCAGCAACTTCCCACCAGCTACAGACCATGTTCCAGAGATGCTAAATCCAGACTCAGCGTCCAAGAATCCAAGCTCCAGACCTTGCCCAGGTAAAGAAACCAAAACATTGCTTTAAAAACACACACAAAACAGAAGGCCTCTGCACGAATGAACACCCAGTACTTGTGACTCCCTTTGACTGGCGAACCCAGCAGGGCAGACGTGTGGGAACGCTTGGGGAAAGGATAAGATGCTGACTGGCCGGGCTGCAACCCTGTCTGTCTACTGCCAGAGAGCACAGGAGGCCTCACACCTCACGCCAGCGAGGACCGGGCCCCACCGAACTCCCACTCCCCAGCCCAAAGGAGAGGGCCTTTGCCACACTGCCACCCCTCTCCTGTCAACTCCCTGCCCTGCCAGCACCTTCCTCCCTCCCCCACCTTCCCCATCTTGGCCCCAGTACCACTGTCCTCTCGGTGACCTACTGAAGAGAGGCCCAGGAGAAGTGCTTGGGCAGTGCCCGCCCCCCCACACTACCCTTAGGACACTGTGGTTCCCTGGCCCCCTCCTGGGTGCCACCACATCCATCCTCCCACTCAGTTGGGGCGAGGAGCCCGGCCTGTGAAGAGACCCCATTGTTGCATCTGTGGCGGCCTCTGCCTCCCACCTCCGGTCCTTCCCCATCCAACTGTCCAAATCAACCCTCCAGAATTCTCTCACCGTTTTAGAAGAGGATGATCACTGAAGGGCACGGTACCCAGGGCCTTCCCTCAACTGACTCCAAATTACACGTCCCATCTGTCACCACCCTTCTGACCGTCCCAGTTCCCATGAGGGAGTAACTTCATGCTGCTCCAGGCCACGCCCTTTCCCGCGCACCACGTGCCGCCAACCCCCCCCCCCCCCCCCCCCCCCCCCCCCCCCCCCCGCCGCCCCCCCCCCCCCCCAGCCCCCCGCTGCCACGCCAGCCCTTTCTTCAAAGCTCTCACGACCCTCCTGGCAGACTCCCACCCAGCTCGGGTGGCCGTCTCAGGGGGAAGACTCCGGCACTCCAGTCAGGGCCGCTCGGGTCCTCCGCCCTCACAGGCCCGGCTCCTGCACTGAGCGGAAGGCCCGCCCGAGTTTTTGCCCACCACAGAGACGGCGCTGATCTGTTCAGACGCCCAGGCAACGCCTCTCGGGCAACGGGCTCACCTTCTACTCTGCAGTCTACGCCGAAAACCCTCCCGTTCTCTCCAGCTGTTCCTTCTGCCCCACCGCAGAGCGCGGTAAGCAGCAGCAGTGACAGTGAAGATTTCTCAACGACTCCTATGTCCAAGAGGGGAGAAGCGCTCTCAACAGTGTCCCCATATGCGTCAGTGTTCCCTCCAAACCTGATATCCCATGCGAGGAATTCCTCTGCACTGTGCCAACAGCTTGCTTGAACGTTCCTGGTACCACGGGCCCCGCTTCTCACCATACCTAATCTCCCAGGGCAGCCCTGTCATCATGGGAAGCACACATTAGTCCAAAATGCCCGACCGGCTTTCTATAACCATCCTTACCCTTCTAGAGCCACATACAAGTAAAGAGAACCCTTTTAAATAGCTAAGGGATAAGTCCTCCCCTTCCTCAATCTCAGTGAATCTCTTTTTGAGGGGCTTTCAGCTTTCCAGAGTTCCCCAGGTGCCACCTTCCAGAGGTTTCTCACATCCTAGATGTCCACAATATTTTCCTTATGTAGCCTCTAGGGACATGAGGGGTGTTAGAAAGCTGAGCAACTTCTGAGACCGTCTCCATAATGGATGGGTCCGACAAGATCCCAGCATCAGAGCACTCAGGTATGTGTCACTGTGAGGGTGACCCCTTTGGTCGGAGCACACACCGAAGGCCTGGGCAGAGACAGATGACAGCCAAAATGCCGGTGAAGCTGAATACACAAAGTACAACCCTAACCGCACCCTGCGCCCCCCACCGGCCCCTGGGGGTCTCCAACAGCCATCGCTGACTTGCACGTGGTGGCAGAGTCCGGTTACGGAGCAAAAAAGATGGTGCGGAAACATGGAGCTGAGGCTAACCTGTCCGTCCCCTGGCCCGGGGCGAGCTCACAAACAGTTCTCCAAAGGAACCGGACCAGTAAGCCTGAAGTCGGGATTCTTTTCTCCCCACATGGCAGGGGGTAAGGGAAGGAGGGGGAGCGTAGGTTTCTGCTTATTTTGTTTCCAACCACAAGGGATCTACTCCAGGAGCTGGAAGGGAGGCCCGTGGAATGCATCACAGCGCCGAGGGGAACCGGCAGCCCGGCGGTTTGGAAAAGGGGGCGGGCAGCAGCGCCCCGCAGGATCACAAACCACCAGTACTGCGCACGGTGAGTGCTATCAGGCCGGGGGGCCGAGCTGAGCCGGTGGCAGGGCTGTGTAATTTGGGGCAGGTCATTGTGGCTAAGCCTCCATTTCTTCCATCTGTAAAAGGAGATCATTTCTGGGTCCCACAGTTGTGGTGTAATTTAAATCTCATCTCTAAGAAAGGGCTTCTGTTAACTCCACAAACAGTGGAAGACATGTTATTTCTTCTGTGTGGTTAAAAACTCACTTACTAGGAGCCACAGTGTTTGGCCACAAACAAGCTGGGTGGCTTGGCGAGGTCTGTGGGCTTCTGCGTCCTGGTCCGCACCGTGGAAACGAAGCACACGCCGCGGCTTCTCCAAACCGCAGGAGCGGCGCAGGACGCGGCCCCTGGGAAAGAACTGCTAAGGGAGCGTTGGGACAGGTGCTCACCCTGCTCACACACAAGTCACTGTTCTGGAACTCAGGCAACCGGGGTTTCAAACAGTTCCTTCCTCCTGCTCCCCTCCAGCATCCTGGCAGACGGCACGGAGAAACGGCCTACTGCCAAGGACCGTGCCCTGTGGTGAGGGAGAACTGTTCTGCCCCGGAGAGGATTCGGTCTCCATCCCCCGGCAGAGACCCAAGTGGCCATCATCAGCAAAGGAGCCAGCAGCCGGGTGTGCAGCAATGGGAGAAGGGACAGGGGCGGCAGAGTGGCTCACAAGACCTCCAAGCCACCCCAGTGGGGATCACCAATCACGGCCCAACCGGGGTTGGGGCAGGGGCCTGCCTGCTACCTTCAGGCTGGCGGCCTGTCCTGAAGCCTCGACTGGGAAAGTCCTGCTGATCAGGACAGGCCACTGCCCCCTGCCACTTCCCCAGGACCCCTCAAACCTGGGCTGCCAGCACCCTGGGCTCCTCTTCCTTTTACCCCATAACTCAAAACCTCACCAGGCTCAAGTCTTCAAAGCACTCCCATTACCAATAAACAAACCATTAGCTAAATGCAAGCAAAGACCTCAAGTGCTCATTGATATTCAAACAGAAAAAACAAGCTTGAAGTACAACAGCTTCCTTTGTTTAAAATGCAGCCACACCTTAGTCTTCTATCTTTCTTATCTCCTATCTTTCCAGTTTATTAAACCACCTAATCCAATTGGTCTAACAGAAAATAGCCCTAAAAGCCCAGGATATCTGGTCCAGAACAACCTCAAGTCAGAGAGCCTGGCTTCAGCACAGGAGCCTTTGAGCTCAAGGCCCTGTGCCCCGGAGGCCCCGATCGACCCGGCCCACTGCCTGCACCTCCTTCCGGCCACACAGTGCTCCCCTCTCCTTGGTCCAGACGGCACCCACTGCGCGCGGGGCGTGACGGAACGAGGCTTTAGCATCACACACAGTGGGGTTTCATTCCTAACTCTAGTGCTTAACTCCGAGCCTCGGTCTCTTCTGTTGTAAAACAAGAATCCTACCTCCAAGAAGCTTGTTGGAGAAGAATGTCTGAGTGCCTGGCCCACACAAGAGAGCAATTTGAGCATTTCTTCCTTTTCTTTCTTCTGTTCCTTCAATCTGCCGCTGCCCGCAGCCCAAAATAACTTAAACGGAAGGCTGTTATTGCCTTCACTCCCTGAAAACATTTAGCTGACAGGTAAGGCAGAGACCGTTCTTCCCAACCTCCCGCAGGCTCACGGTAGGTGAAACCAGACCAAGACTGAGAGACCGGCCCTGAGGCCGTGCTAAGAGAATGCCCGCTCCGCGGCCAGGCTACCGCTGCCTCCTGTGGACCAGAAGCAGCCAAGGAGGCACGGCCAACACCTCTGGCTGGGACGCGCTAGCCGGCCTCCCTCCAGCTGCCTGGGCCGACGATACCCCAGCAAAGGCAGCGCCGTCTGCAGAAAAGGCAAAGTTCTGCCAAGTAAAGACCAAGACTCTCCTTAGAAGGACCAAGTTAAACTGACTGGTCAAGGCGGGGGGCGGGGGGGTGGCAGGGGAGAGGAGGAAAGAAAAAAGGAAACAAAGGCCTCCCTCAGTCTTGGCTCATTGAGGCAGTGGCTCCTCCAAACAGCCACAGCTGGGGCACGCGGTGGCTTCTGCCAGGACATTAGTTATAGGAGTATCTCTTGGAGTCAAGAAAAGCCTTCCGCTTTGGGGCTGCAGTGAGAGAGCAGGTCTTTGGAGTTCCCCCTGGAGCTGGGGGCTGCTGAGTCCCCTCCTCTTTCACTTACCACTGCAAACAATAAATGCCTTTGGTACAATTAAAAGGAAAAAAAACAAAAAACAAAAAACCCTCCTGACTATCATGCAAGCCTGTCTTATTTGCCTTTAAAGGTAATGCTCAGTCCCTGTCTACACAGTTTTTATAAACTTAGAGCGTCACAGAATTCAACCTAAAAAAAAGAGAGAGAGAACTCAGTCTGTAATCCCCACTGAGCGTGCAGTACCACCTGCTCACAGACAGGGACGCACGCTCCTGCCCACCCTTCCTCAGGGCAACCAAAGCCCTCACAGAAGGAGACCAGCAGCTGTATAACCGGCGGCGCCCGTCTGACCATCTACCCATCTTTCCTTTTCCAAAAAGAGAAGGAGATGGATGGACAGGCAGACGTGTTTTTCCTAAGATTCACACACCCGGGAGGCCTCACGTGGTGACGAGTGCCAATTTGTTCCAAAGCGCTGAAGCGGACTGGGAGAGAGATGCTGCAGGAATGCTGTGCAGAGAAGCATCGGCCTTCTAGACTGACTTCTAGAGAAGTCCGTGGCCTTCTAGGCATGCCACCCAGGCTCCTCTTTCTGTGGTTTATAACAACTTGCTTTCTACCTGCCAAACACTGGCCAGCTCTGGATGTTGGCTTCCCATGCCAGCTGCAATCACACACCTCTTTTTCTTATTAATGCACTGGGAAGAAAGCTGGAATCAGCCGGTGATGTCCTAAGCTCAGCCCTTTTGAAGTTCTAAGCACACTTACATCCCTAAGCAAGTATTTCCAACTCCCTGGCAGGAGACCAGCCAGCGATTTCACCACCACCATAGAAACGCGAGCATTTTCAGTCAGCACGGATCTGCAGCGACCTCCCCACACTACCTCTCCCGCTAAGTGTTTGCTTTATGCTTCCTGTTTAGTCCCCAGATGCCAGGGGTCCTCTCTCAAAGTGTGGAAGCACCCCAAACCTATAAATACCAAGGAACCAATGCAGCTCCCCCTGAGCAGGCCATGCACTGGCTTCTCCCCTACCTGCCAGCACAGGCTCGCTGCCTCCCTCACATGCCTTCTGTCCCTTCAGCCAACCGTGATAGGAACTGTCAACATTTCCTGAGTACTTACTGTGCACCAGGTACTATTCCAAGCACCTTACGTGAATTAACTCATCTAATCCCCAAGCCTCATGGGAATTTGCTGGAGGGAGAGAAATGCTTTGGCCCAGATTCCCACATGGTTTCTACTCCCTATTTCTAGCTATGCTGTAAAGCTTACATAACCTAATTTGCAGTATGGAGCTATTTTTTAAAAATCTCCAAAGATCACTGCATCAAGTATCAATGGAAGCTGTTAGCTCCTACCTAAAATGATAATGTGGGAAAGGATATCTATTCTTACAGCTAACTCAACTTCAGTTCTTGACTTAAAACCGCCTCTCTGGAAGATGGGATGAGGAAGGGAAGAGACAGCTTCTTACGTAAGAAGTACTAGCGTGCGCTCTGTAAGCTCCCGCTAGAGACATCCATGCTGCACCGCATCCCAGCAGCAGGCAGTAACTTAACTCTGGCCGTTACTCGTTCGCTACCTGTCTCCCTTCCAGGCCTCCTAGTAACACTGAGAAACCTCTGGTCACTGCATGGCATCAGATCCTTATAGTTTGCAAGTACAAATACAGCAGGACGTTTCTTGCTCTGAGGACTTCAGAGAGACCCTGCCCCCTGCTCCCTCTAACCCCACCGCCCCCAGGACGCACCGGCCTGTGCTGAGTGGGAGGTACCGGAGGACCATTCACAGAGCAGCTTTAACTGCTCCTAATGTCCCTAGTTCCTCGGGCTCTAGATTGCTAGAAATCTAACTGCTGGGGGGAATGGGTGCGGGCGCATCTGCAAATCTTAGTTCATTCCCCTAACTCACTACTGAAGATTTGCCTCCACTGCAGTTATTAAAGAAATCTAACAAACAGGTAAGTTATAATGAATGATGATTATAAGGGTAAAATTTCCCTCACTTGTCATCGAAAAAATGGTGTCAGTGTTTAAAGCAACCACTATGGTCCCTGCTATACTATAAAAACTGCTTTAAAGGACTGGAATATTTGTTCGTCATTTCATTCCATTCACTTACTTGGAGAGAGGGCCATGAACATAAACCAGAGTTGGTTTCAGGCTCTCAAAACTGCCAGGGAAATATTTAAAATGAGTGAATTTCCAAATGATGGCCAGGCCAGTTCAGTGATACCAGAGGGCCTACATTACTAGATAATTTATAAACTACCAACCCAGTTACTTATCTTTTGACACTGCTAATGCACCATGTGTCTCCCACCCTAGGACGTTTATAATCGGCCCAATTCCACCAACAAGGAGACTCTCGAACTTGAAATGTTTTCACGGGGCAGAGACACTGTTTCGCTAGTACCCAGAGAAGGACCTGGCACATAACGGGCACCCCGGCTGCTCGATAAGGACTGGAATGTATGTAGTACTAGTTAGCTAGACCTCATACAACCTTCTATAGATGCCAAAACCACATTCGACGTAATACAGGTTTTGTACGGGGAAAAAATGTTCCAGCAACCTTCAAAGTTAGTAATAACAAGAAAACTGCTACTTAGAGACATATAAAACATGAAATTCATTTTAATCTCTATATATCAAATATGGCCTCAGCAAAGAACATCTAACACATATGAAATGTATTTATGGGACACACTAAATGAAGCAAACCCTTACTAAAATATTTGGCCTAACCCTCCCATCTTTTAAATGAACTCCATGATGGCTGTGTCAGGTGGGAAATCAATCGTCTAGCTGCCTAACCTGGAAAAGACAGATAGACGAACTGCCTTCTGTCTATTTGGTCTCTGCAGACTGGGTATTTACCATTCTGAGTCTTGCCAAAGTTGGTTCTACAAATAGCTTAACTCAGTCAATTACATATTCTTCCATAGTTACCTTAATATTTTGGTTTTTTTGTTTGTTTTCTATTGCTTTTTCTTTTTATGGCTTCTTGCTGCTGTTGTATTAGGGCATACAACACAGATCAGAGATTTTCATTTCTCAGAAAAATTTCTCTCCTTGAGAAATTGGCACTTTGATCCTCCGTTTGTGTAACAGCTACGTGTAAATGGGTCCTACGGGCAATGTTACCAACCTCGCGGCTTATAGAATTCCAGCACTTTGGCCAGAAGAGTGCCCTGACGTTAAAGTCTTCTCAGGTGAACTCCCCACCACCGAATTCTTTTATTTAAACAGGTCCATGTGTGTAATTCACATACATGTAATATCGTAAGTTTCTACACACATATACACATTTAACTCGTAAAAGTGAAATGTCTCTCTTGAATAAAAAGTAATTACAAGGGTATTAAAACAAACGCTGAAAATAACTATTTTACATTTAGATCATAAAAATTTTAAAGGTAATATGATGACATAAGACCTAAGAGATCAAATACATCCTGTATGATTGTCATATATGCACGTTGTGTTCATTGACTTTTAGTTATTTTTCTCTTTAATCAGAAAATAAAAGAGCTTACCTTTGTTTACTGAGACCACAGCTTACAGTCACTAGATCTCAGCCTATTTTATACAAGTGATATGGCTACGAAGGTCCGAGGAGAACGAGAATAAAGTGAGATAAACGTGCTGAAAACTGCTTAAAAGTATTAACCTGAAATACACAGAGGGTCCAACACCAGTTTTAAAAATACATTAACGAGGTATTCCCAGCTCTTCAATTAATAACGGTGACTGACTGATTCATGATTTTCAAACATTCACCCGAATTTTAAAAAAAGGAAAGGCTAATAGCAGAAAAATCTATCAGTGGTTTGTTCCCAGGTTAACGGTTTCAGAGAGACTACAAACGACTCGGGACCCCTTGCTGCACGCACCATGCACTGCATCTAGTCAGCATGAGGTATGTTGGGAATCTACTGGACCAATTACCTTGCACAAGAGAGGAGGTGGTCCTGCAGCCGGAAGAGACCGGGGCTGCAGGCCACGTCCTTGGCTGGGCGCCAGCCCCCATGCAAAGAATATGGCTTCAAGGAGGACCCCTATCTCTGAGAAATTATAACAGCGCTAACTGACGCAGTCAGGAATGCAACTACCCAATTTATGTGCTACAAAAGTCTAAAAACTGTCGGGAGATAGCACAGCTCACACGCGGAGTCGAAGTTCTACATTGGTCTGTAAACTCCCTGACAAGAGACTACTCTAGGAGGGGTTAAGTACAGATATTGCTAGGTTCCCAAAGGAAAAGTTTTAAGACAGACACCGTGGCTTTGAATAAAGTATTGCTCTTCTTTAAAATGCTCAGTCACTGCTTTCCAAAAGAAGGTGTCAGAGTGGGTATCTGAAAGCTGGAAAGCCTCAGGGGGTCACAAGGCTCTTAAGACCAAGACAGAAATTGCCATTTCAAGCCAGACAACCTGATGGTTCTAGAAGTCAGAGAAGAAATCTTGAGGGCCCAAGTGAATAATAAGTGGTGCGACGCTCAGAGGCTGGCAATAGGGGCTGTCAATGAAAAAACCGCCTACAGTGGAGAAAAGAGCAGAGAAGCAACACTTGGTGTTAATGTCACAGAATTTGGTGAAGCCAAGAGCTTCATTTATATTTCTCTGCTCTTTCAGCTGTAAGTGGAATTTTCATTACAAAATGGAGGGGTGGGGAGGGTAGAAGGGGGGGGAGGGGGACACTTAATTCATTACAGAATTTCAACAGTTGAACTTGCATGGTTACCACTTCTAACAAAGGACTGACAGCTCAATTATTTTAAGTAAAGCAGAGAAATGTAAAGTTTGCAGCAACTGGGCAGGTTTACAACATGGTTAGTAACTTCCAACAAACAACAAAATTAAAAAAAAAAAAAAGACTTGGTAGAAACCATTTGAAATGACTGCCATCATGTTGGAAAACAGCACAGCTCCCTTTGCACCATCATAGAGGGGTTAAATTATGAAGCTGAGTCAGCTACTTCAAAAGAATTTTCTAAAGAGAAATCTCCAGAGAGATTCCAACTTGGAATGCAAATTTGACAATCAATTTCAAATAACAATCCGGCTGCGGCTGCCAATTAATAGTATTCCAAACACAGAGAGGACTATTGTAAATATTGAATTAATAAAAACTGGACACTACCAGCCATGCTTTTTCTTCTCAGTGATGGCTCTGTTTCATCCATAGGTCAGCAAAATGAATCAATGAAACATGAAAATCCCAGCTGCAATGGGCCCTCAGGTTTATGTCTAGCCACTAATGCACAGGATGAGAATGGTAAGTTCACAGCTATTTCTAGCCAGTGATGAGGTTTTATTAAAGTATCACCCACCACTAATAAAGACTAAAGGTCAAGGAGCAGAAGTAACAAGCCACTGTGTAATAAATCCACATCTGAGAAGTGACACTAACGTTTGTTTTAAATTGCCCGTCTCATTCTCATTTAGTGGTCCCAAAGAAATCTGGTACATAAATTTGCTGTATTTTGCGAAGCCCATTCTCACTGATGGCCACTACTGGGCTCTGAGAAACAGAATTTAAGAGGGAAGAGGGAAGCTAATTCATACTAAGAACAGACATTTTTAAGACACAGCAACTTAGAAATCTCGACACGGCACCACACTGGTGCCTTCATGGGGGTGAGTACCTTAATGAAACCATTACCTTCTAGTAACATCATCGGCTCTCCAAACAAGGCGAGAATGCAGGGGAAGGCTCAGGTCTGCACCCTTTATAGGACAGCACAATGTTACTGACTGATCTTTTTTCACCAGCTTAATCAGATAAATTTTAAGAAAAACTTAAAAATAAATGCTGACCCATGGCTGAAACCTGTCACTTTTCACAGCAGCACTCAACAAGAACTGGGACGATCGAAGAGCAAGTTTTATGGGGACCCTGTTGCTGCTTTAGATTCTGATGTAATTGAAGAGGAAAAGAGACCTTTCAATGAATCCCAGAAAAATCGCTAATCTTCTATCTGCATGAAAAAAGCCAGGGAAGTGAACACAGTATCTTACAGAGTGAAGAAGGCCACAAGAACAAGAGAGGGTGATTGATCGATTAATTTATTCTCTTTTAAAACTTGGAAATTAGGAAACTAAAATAATCACATTCCTCCTTCCCCATCTCTGGGTAGTGCCATCATTTTAAGAAGCAATGCTTGGATAACAGAATATACCTTTATCACGGGGATGCCCTTGTCCAGCAGTACAAAGGGCTTACAAAGTGAGTAGACCGGCTCAGACTAACAAATTGCCTTTGCTTTGTTTTAGCAGTTTCCTTACAAATGAATGGGTTTCTAGGGCTAAGTTATTATTAGTTTTCAATTCCTTGTAATTTGATACCAAAACATATCAAAAATAATAACCTAAAACAATATTCAAACCCATATTTTATTGGCTTTAATTACACACTTCAGTATTTACAAAGTTAAAGTTTAAATGAAAAGTCTCTATTGTATTAAAAAAAATAACTACAGCCCGAATTCAAGTGCCCTGGGGCAAATACATATCAATCAGAGCTAAGAATCAGTGACTGCATCAGGAACCAGGCAGTACTCTGTGTTACAACAAAGCAGTTTATTTGTGATCAGTGTTTGAGACTCTATACATCCTTCACAAATTTAATTTTACATAATCTGATACTCCTCTTAAAACTTAAACTTTGAACTGCTAGACTTATTTCCCTAGAACAGAAGGGCTGGTATAAGTTATTTTCCGGAAATGAGGTACCGTTTCACAGAACTAGTTTCTTTTTTGTTTTCAAGTTTTAGAGAACTAAATTTGCATTTGTTAAAATCAAAAAGTAGGAAAGATGTTCTTTACAAATAATTTTGATCAAGTATGTGTTCAAAGAAAGCAGGATAAAAAGGCTTTTTCTCTAACATTCTGTATTGTACTGGGTTTGTTGTTCAATAGGAATTAGCTTCTGTCATTTGCTAAAAGAATGAGTAGTGGGGAACAGGATATGTTGGGAATTTCATAACGGGCAACAGAACCATTCTCTTGGGTAAACCTACAGAGAGAAGAAACGGAGAGGACTCCAAATAAGTTTAATAATCCAATAAAAATTTCAGGAAAAAAAAATCTTACAGTAATGATCATTAACCTTTTCCAGATTAGTCAGTCAACATGAACCATTTTGGAGGAGACCCACAAACCTCTCCTGTTTTGAAATTGCTAATATTTTGATCATTAGTATTTTCCACTCGAAATTAAGATGGCTATGTCGCAGGAAGAATGATATTCAGAAAGCAATTTCATTTGTGTGAGCGGCCATGATTTCTCAATACCAAAAGCAGTGCTCGTGATAAATATTCTAACGGGACTCCAGAAATCCGTAATCGTTCTCAATTTGGCACATCACACACTGTAGGAGAAACAGGGATGACTGTCGAGACTCAAAGCACAGCTTTCTGTGCAGGCCTCAGCTCCCCGGAAACACAGCTCCAACTGGAGTTGCGACCGGGTGTTTTATCTTCTTAATGGCTGCCGCGGGTATTGGCATGGCAAATCTGGAAAGATTAACTACTTTCTTAATTTTGTAATAAGCGAGTTCTTGTGGCCTCACAAACTTCTGCATACTCAAGCACGATTTGAAATCTGCTCCTGTGTCTAGTCTAGTCTTTAGCCTACGGAGAAATCACAAAGCAGCAACAGCAGGTACTCAAGAGCACCAGATGATCAGAGGGAAATTACCCCACATGCAACAGCTTTACAAAGGCCAAAAGACATATTTACCTTACAGCCAAAATAAAGCATTGTTTTAGTAGGTTGGCATCACAGTAACATTTAAAAACCAAATCTTTTATGTGAAAAATGGGGGCATCAAATTTCACCAGCTTTGGAAGTCAGTTATATGGCACATGGAAGGGAGGAGCCTTCTGAAGTGGGGGCTCAGAGGCCGCAAGGGTGAAAGTACAATGTTAGAGGAAAGGGAGGAACAAGAGAGAAAAATTAAAAAGACCGAGGAAAGACATGAATGCAGCTTAAAGCCCAGACATACCCATGTTTTAAAGAGAAAAATTCAGCCCTCGTAAACTGTACTAAAGAACGTGAGATTTACGATGTCTGGAGGAAAGACACGGAATTAACAACCGGCCCTAGCAGGCAGATGCACTGGCGTGCACACAAGACACACCACAGTGGGACCAGTGAGCCAAAATGGATTCGGATCAACTGCCCAGACCTAATTCACAGGAGGGAGGAGGTGGTCAGGGTACCCAGAAGTCGGCTGCACGGTAAAAGCAAATGGCCAAAACAAAAGGAGCTAGAGAATTTGAATTTAGAGGAAATTCCGGGTAAAAACATTTTCTCAAACGAGTTCTCAATTTCTAGTCACCCCACATCTGGGGACCTGGGGACTCTGGGGACCAAACCTGAGCATTCCAGAGGAGACATTCAGGTGAAGGATGAAACCCCAGACTTGGCATTTTGCCATAGAGAAGACTCACCCCAATTGTCTGACCCTTGCTGCTTCCCCACATTTTCCCAGACTATCCTAATGGGGAAAGTGGTCAAACTGTTCATTTTCTCTTTATTTTTTACAGTTATGAAATCAAATGAAGCTTCCACTTAGCAGTGTTTTAAGGACCCAACATTTTCATCTGAACAAAAAGGGAAAAGCTGATGCATGAAGAGAGAAAGCATTATGAAGGGTCCTGAGGCTTGTGTTGGGGACTAACACTACAAGGAGCTGGACATTCAAGGTCCTTCCCCAAAGTGCATGTGCACGCCCAGCCCAGGGTCGCACCAATATGCACTCACACATGCACAAGCACACACACACACACACTCGTGCGCACACACTCTCTCTTCTTCTCTCAATGGCAAACATCCTGCAGATGGCTGACCTGGAACATGTAGCGCCTGAGTTAGAAAAAATGTCTAAAAGGGCATATCACTGACTCCAAACCTACTGCCTCCATTGCCACATAAACCTCATTCAAAAGTTATCCAAAGGGCCACTGAGGTTCATTTCTGCATATGCTTTTATTTTTTATTTTTGGAGGGAGAGGAGACACTCCTGTGATTTTGTAACATGTACCACAGACTCTGGGCGGGAAGCACTCTGGTGACACTGCCGGTGACACGCCGTCACCACGCTAGGGCCCATTTATACCACCTCTAAAGCAAAATTTCTGGAAAAGGACGATGGCTACAAATTTGAAGTGAATATTTCCTAACCCTAACTCAAGTCACCCAGACGGTTTCAAGCCAGAAACTTCAATGCAGCCATGTAACCGGCGAGCAGTCAAGCTGGAAACCGGGTATGGCCCTTCAGTAGCCTTTGAATGGAGTATCAGTTGGCTGTAAGAAGAACTACTTAAAATGTTTAATTTCAATATGGTCAGAAACAGGCAATTAGAACAAGCAGTCCTTCAATCAGGCAAAGCAGAGAGAAGAGCAACTCCAACCAAACCAAGAACCACAAGGTTGTGGCGTTTTCAAAGGGAATTTAAGTTGGGTCACTAGAATGAACAGGTCTGAGATCCTCCGATTCATTTAAAGAAACCCTGGACACAAACTGTGCTTTAGATTGCTGTGACAGCATTGCTAAGAGGAGAAATAAGAAAGACGGTGTACATACCATAGGCAGGGGCAGCTGTGCTGTAACCATACGGTGCTCCATAGCCTAGTGCAAAGAAGAAAGCCGATCAGTTCAGAGCAAAGGGCAACCAATCGGTACTCGCCCCATTCACAAGTACTGCCTGGCCCAGCACCTTGGGCCCTGAGGACTTCTTCCAGATGTTGGATGAATGAGAACTATTCCCAGAATGGCCAAACCCTCCATTCCTGCTTAGCATGGAAGCTTTTCCCCATGACCTAGAAGGTTCTCCTGACCTACCAGAACATCCTGTCTTTCTCCATGCACTTATGACACTGTGCTATAATTATCGACTCCTTGTCTGTGTCCCTACTTGAGTGACAGACACCAAGTCTTAGACATTTTTTTTTTTTACCATGTCAACTTAGCAGAAGGTCTGGCACATAGTAACCACTCACTAAATATAATCTGTTGAACAAATCTGTCTCCTCTCCCTGAACTTAGAATCACTCAAGTTAACCAATTTCTTTAAAGCTGGAAAGCAGAACTTCCCAGGTCTCTTCAGAAAACAGTGACAGGACAGGCTGAGGCCTCAAGTGCTGCTGAACGGGAATGTGGATCGGGCTGTGGGCTTGGGGACAAGGTCCATGTCTCCTGGTATCTGACTTCCTGATCCCAGCTCAGTCTCTCAATAAAGTTGGCCAAACTGACATTAACCTCTGGTGCCTATGAAAAAGGCTCATATTGTCCATCTGAAGAACAGTGAAGCTTTTGAGCCAATCCGTTCTGGAACTGGTTTCTTATATGTCCTTAAACATGTAATTTCTGAGTTGCCTTTTCATGCCTATAAAATGAAAACTCTTCCAAGCTACTTTATCTAGTGTTGTAGGGATTAGAAATACTGTGCTAATAGAAGCCATAATGTTTAATCTTTCAATAAAACAACTTTAAAAATATAAATACTAAATTGCTTGGGTAAACCTTTAGGGAAAACTGGGTTCTAAAACAGAACAAAATCTACATGCGCCCTTCACACTGTACCTAAAACAAATCAAGCCTTTTTAACATTACAAGCCCTTTTTCTATAATCCTTTCTGCTGCTTGCAAGGATTTTTTTCTTCTTCTCTAGCTGCCCAACTGCAACACAGACTGTAGATCAGGACCAAGTATCACCTCCTCTGTGAAGTCTCCTGGGTTTGCTGTTTGCTCCTTTGCGCCCCTCCCCCCGCAATGCTACAGCTTCCATCACAGCGCACAGTGTTGATGCAAACGTTTGTTCCTAACCCATATGACTTTCCAAGCATTCAGCAGCGCACATGCTAGTCACCTTCAAATGCCCGGGCCCAAATCTCTTGCCTGAAGCAAAACACTCAAATGTATGCTGAATAAGTAAACTGCTTTCAGGGACTAACGGAAACATTTCCTGAGAGATGGAAATTTTCACTTTTTAGTCTATACTTAAGTCACATAAAACTGGGGATAATATAATATAGCCTTAGTCTTTGGTCTTAATTGGAGTCTTTTGTGCTCCCTAAATCCTAGATTTCAAGAGGATACAATGCAGCTAGAAGAAGCAGGAAATATGCAGTAGGAACTGAGGCCAAGAGAGAAATTAATACTTTAAAAAGTTTGCATATCACATCTATTCCAGGAAAAGGTAGCCAGCTGGATGACTAAGGTTACAGTTTTAAGGATTTTACCAAAACCTCCTTAAAGAGAGAGAAAACTACAACCACTAAGCTGGCCACTGATCAGGCTGTTTGAACCCCGACTTCACTATCACTCGGCAAGGTGACTTTGTGCCTGTTATGTCACCACTCTGTAACTGAGTTGGCAGGGGAATGTAATTAAATAACGTATGTAAAAATACTTACTACAGTCCCTGCTGCACAGAATACACTCCGCAAATGGCATATAACCTATCCATAATCTAATTGACCTAATCTGAATCTTCTCTGGGCTATAAAAGAACTTCATTTTTAAAAGCTTCACAAGATAGGCCTTTCACAGAGGTCAATGCGATGACATAAGAGAAAAGCTACTATAGACAAGCATCCGCGCGTGCGCGCACACACACACACAGCCTTTCCCATGACTGCCCCTAGATGATGGGTGGGAGGTAAGCGTCCATGACCAGGTGACTGCCGGTGCTCTCAGACAGAGGAAGCCCCCGCTGAACATGTAATCAAAGGCAAGAAAGTTCATCTCAATAACTTGCCTATTATTAATACAAGCTGCTTTCTTGAAATAATGATCGAACAAGGCAAAAGAATATTCAATATCAGTAGAAACAGTAAGATGCACAGAAGAGTGTCTTAATTTGGGACCTATAAACAGAATCAAACCACAATGAACCTTCTCCTCTCCCATCTCCCTCCCACCTTCTCATCCTTCAGCATTCTCCATCTCCTTAAACGGCACAGTCATTGACCCAGTTCCTCTTGCTGAAAACGCTGGGAGAAATCCTTGAAACCTCCCTCCTTTTCATTCTCCACATGAAATCCATTAATTGTGCTTCTGTCTGTCTTTAATGCGGTCGCTTCTTGCCGCCCATCTGCTTCCCTGCACACCTGGGGATACCTGCACGGTCTCTGGCCGGAGCTATGAGTTTATCAGAACCTTCTAACTTGTCTTCTCACATCTACTTCTGTACCTACAATCCATTCTTCACACTATTGACGATGATCTTTACAGGAAAGTCTGATGTTGTCATCTCTCCCCTTAGAACCCTTCATGACTTTCCACTACACTTAGCATTCTAAGGCCAAAACCCACACCTTGGCCTCTAGGACTGGGTTGAGTGTCTAGCTTCAGCTCGAATCACTCCCTGTCCCTGTCATTCTCTCCTCACCAGCCCCCACCCAAAACACACAGTGCTCTCCACACTAGAAGACATTTGGCCTTCCTCTAATCCTTCTCATCCGTAAGTTCCCTGGCCCAGCAATGTGCTTCCTCTGTGTACAACACTTGTACAGCCTAGTCTTCTCCAGGTTAATGCCTCCTCATTCTCTAAAGCTCAGGTCAGGTGACACTTCTTTGGGGGAGGCCTTCAGGCCCCAAAGCCTAGACCCAGTTTCTCTGTTAAATTCTCTCACAAAACATACCCTTGTCCTTCATCACAACCTTCTCAGTTGATAATTGTGACTATATGATCAGCCTGTCTCACCTTCAGATCATAAGCTGCACAACAGTAAAATCCCAAAGCAGGCACATGTACTTCAATGAGCGAATATATTCACTATATGACATATCTTTGAGGGATCAACTCCTACAAGCCTAATTCCAAAACCATATAACCCACAGAACTTCCCAAATAGCCTATTCTAACTCTTTCTTAAAGAAAAAAAGGGAGGGAGGAAGGAAGAAGAAAACACATACACAATCTAAGTGAACTTCTTAGCAATGTTACATAAAAAAATAATGATGGGATAAGATCCAATCCTTCAGAGAATTTCGTCCTGATCCACAATTATAAGCAGTCTACTTGCTAAGTGAAAAGTTCCATACGTTCAATATGGCAGACGATCTGACTTTAATGAGACAGTTCTACACCTACTGCTGAAATGACGTAAGTATTAGAACAGAAGGCAGAAGGAGGGCATCTTTTCCCATCTCCCTCAAGCCATGTGGTGAAATGGAAAGAATATAAGCTCTAGAACTGCAAACACCTACATTCAAATCTCTGCTCTGCTGTTTGCTATGTCTCAGACTGAGCTAGTTGCCTTCTCTCATTAGACCTTAGTTCCCTCACCTAGAAAATGGAAATAACTTCTACTTGAGGAAACACTGTGAAGATTAAAAAAACAATTAAGTGAAATCATATATGCCAAAGTATCTGTTGTAGAGTAAGCTCTGGATAAGTAAGTTTCCCTTTTTCTTTTTTTACACTTCTGTAGACCTTCGCTGGATCCCACACACCGAGTTAAAGAAACGCTGTTAATGCTAGGCTACACCCCAATGAGGGAGTCTCTCCGCAGCAGTTTTCCTCTCCTGTCACACCCACCCACCCTCTATGTCCTGCTGAATGCGCCCCGCTTGCACATGTGCACTCCTCAATCTGCGGAGTATTAGCTTCCTCATTGTCAAAATACGTCCCCTCAACCAAGTGTAATATTCCTCCTCTGTCACCTCCCTCCAGGATGCCTCCAGTCACTGAGCAGATTCCAGGAGAAAACCTGGACTCTGTGATATTCTGTAGATTCTCTTCTTCTGAACGTCCATGCATACACATCTTACACCTATGTTATGTTTCCAGGGCTCGTGTATAACCCTGGAGAAGAAAAGACATGCTGTTCTTCAAAGTCTGGCCCTGACGAGGAGGCAGACCTCTTACAGGCTATACTCTACCTGGAGCTATGTAGCCAGGAGCAGCTGTAGCCCCAACAAAAGCTCCCCTTGTTAGAGTTCCTCTTCCTCTGCCCCGAACAGCTTGGACTGCTGCAGACACAGCTGTATTCACAACACCCTTTGCCTGTTAAAAATAAGATTTTCATTACTGAGAGAAATAAGAACATCCCACCATCCCCCTAATGCACAACCTCTATGAGAAACTTGAGCCTGTAGATGAGTCAGTGAGTCACCTATGACCTTGAACCTTTAATTTATCATCTGTAAAATAAAAATAACACCTACTTTACAGAGCTGTTCTGAAGAATATTTGGACACATAAAAGTATGCAAATAACTTCTTCTTTCACTTGAGGGTTACTCAGAAAGAGTTCATTTTCTACACACAAATTTCAGTAGTCAAATTACATCCGTTGTATTTCAGGCCTAACTAAAGTAATCACAGACACTTGATACCCAGGTTTGAAATCCACTGAATTCTCCTTCCAGAGACAAAAACTACACAACCAACCACCAAGAATTATCTGTGAACCTGAGTGGAGTTTAAAAAAAAAAAAAAAACAGAACGATGAAGGAAGACCAAAAATGAAAACTCCAGGAAAGTCATGTGATTTGTGTCTCCATCTCCTGCTGTATGTGTATGCGTGTATGTGTATATACATGCACCAATCATGAAATAAATACTGCCTCTAAAGTGCCCTCTTGCTCTAAAATGCCATGGGACTCTGGTAAAATCATAAATCTCTATGTCTATCAGAGTCTACCACTAATTATACAATGAGGATAATGATAGCCACTTTGTTTTACTTCAGAGGAGAAAAGGCCGTTGAGAAAACCGCAAACTCTGAAGAGCAGACTAGATAAGGACAAACAGAACAGAGGGCTGCTAAAACATCCCTTTCCAAAACTGAAATTTTAAGAAAATCAAGAACACCTAGTTTTCAATGAAATGTTTTATTTTTTTAATATAAAGACACAACAGGGGCATGTGGGTGGCTCAGTCATTAAGCGTCTGCCTTTGGCTCAGGTCATGATCCCAGGGTCTTGGGATTGAGCCCCATAGGTGGGCTCCCTGCTCTGTGGGAAGCCTGCTTCTCCCTCTCCCACTGTCCCTTTGCTTGTGTTCCCTCTCTCATTGTCTGTCTCTCTCTGTCAAATAAATAAACAAAATCTTAAAAAAAAAAAAAAAAGACACAACAAAAACTCAAACAAAAAACTACCAGAATTCCCTCCTATAACCAAGGTGCAGAGCCTCAGAGCTCACAATGGAATAAAGTCAACTTAGATAAGTATCTCGAACAGCTTAAACGTTCAGAGCCTACACACATTTATCTCATGCTGAAACGCCACCTCTACCACTAGCATAAGTGGGGAGAAGACCATTTCAAGGTCAAATGTATCACGCACAGGGAACAGCCATTTTTCTGTTTGGCTGAGGGGAGAAAATGCAACCCACACATCCAAAATAGACTGCCTCCTGGCTGTCAAGCATATTGAACACAAGAGTTTTAGAGCTTCTAGTATGGAAAATTTCTAAAAATATGAGGTGAACCTCATGTAGATAACTTTTTTTTTAAAACACAGTTTAGTCCAAGTAGTCAGGAAGTAACAATCTGGTGGGAGCAGAGTGACTCCACACAAATCGAGCTCATGTCTACTAGAGCCAAACTTAACTAGTACCTAGTAAGTATTTGCACTCGCTTTCTAAACTCTAACATTAACTGACCCAATACAAGATGTAACTCATGGTAAAAAACACCTAAACAAACAAGTCAACAATTATCTTTCTACTAATTTAGCACATTTCCTGGAAGGTTTTAGGGAAATAAACCAATTCTTCTCTCTCCGAATGTGTATCAGGGCAATTTAAACGCTTCATTTGTATTTTATCTCAGTAAAAGTTATCCTTGGTTATATTTTGAATCCTAGAATGTAAGCAATGCTTATTACAATAAGTACAAGACAAGACAAATGTCTAAGATGGCTATAATACGCAATATCCACGGTCTTTGGAAGGAGAAGAATCTAGCTGAAAGAGACCCTACCATCAGTTAGCTGTGGTACTAAGGGCAGTGTCTGTATCTCTTCAGGCCTCATTTCCTCATCTATAAAACAAGATCAACTCTAGCCAGAGTTGCACTCAGCTTATGTAAAAGAAACTAAACAAACTGTTTCATTCAGAATCTTAAGTAATCTTCCTCTATTAGTCTAAACATTTTTAACCGACTCGTTTCTATCACATCCTCTATTCAGACAGTACTGCCCCAGCACTCTCCACCAGGGAGAGAACTATCTTATATTTAACAATGTATCTCTTTTGCCCTCATAATCATGCACATAGTATACGACTAGAAAATATTTTTGAATGCATAAATGAATGAAGACTCTGTTGTCCAAAAGCATGTAATTAGGAGGCCATCTTTCCTAAAGACTTTCTACAGCCCTGGGCCTTCAGCAGGACTGACATGCCCATGTCAGGAATGAACAGAAGATGTATTAGGTCAAGTTTTACTGTGGCGCCCCCAAAGGAAAACACAAAATAAATAATGCAAAAGGACAAAACTGGAAAGGAAATGGAAGTGCATCTTCAGACTCTGATGAAAGTAAGCCCCTACACTCTTGGCAGTTTCCCTAAACAAATGCTAACACCTCATTGCAAGTCCAGATCCCTCAAGGCTCTACCTGACCGAGAGTGACTGAAAGCCCCCAAATAATGCTAATACCTTCTTTTTAATATATAATTTGCCTATGAAGACCACAGAACAGGGAATATTACAGTATTCATGATCTGACCCAAAGAAAAGGATGCCAAATTCAAGAAAAAGAAACAACTTCAGAAAAAGCTAAAGTGGCCCCAAGAACAGAAAAGGAAATTTATTTTTGGTAACTCATACCTGAGGGATAATCTTCTTTTTCTTATTATTTGCTGCATTGGGTCCAGAAAACAGCTTCTCCAGGGCAGCTAAAGCTGCACTTGCCTTTGCCACTTTCTTATTTGGACCTGCACCTCTGAATTTCTGTCCATCTACTTCTACCTAAAATCAAGAACAACACTCTACAATTATCCCATGCAATTCCTCTGTGTAGTTTTAATTTAAATGTATCACAACACAGAAAACACCAAAAGTCAAATAGTGCCACAAGAATTAACTCAGACTAAAACTTTTTTACATATAAGCCAAGGACAGCCTATGTCTGTGAGGGAAAGCACGGTTGGCTTGAATGTAGGTACACACCTCCATTACAAAGCGTTTGTCATGGCTTCCACCAGTCTCCGAGATGAGTTCATACTTAAGACCTCTTCTTTTTTCATTGAGCTCCATGACAGGATTTTTGCCACTTGCTGTGAGGATAGGGCCCTGAGTTCTGACCTAAAAGGAGGTTCAACCAAGTAAGATTTTAAAGTATTAAATTTCTTATTGATATAATTATACTATGTTTTGCTTGAAAAGAGGCTCAAAAATTACACTTTAAAGCACTTATAGACTAGGATGTGATCACCTCTACATACAAAATGACAAAATATCTTTAAAGGTATAGAAACTCCGTAAGCAATAAACATGGCAGTCAGTCATTCAGCCAGCCTGCCCCTAAAGTAGGGCTGTCTCAACACTGTTCAAGAGCAATGTGGCCTCGCCATTACATGGTACTCTAGGATCTACTCTGTGGTGTTCATGATCTAAGAATAATACTTTAAATGACTAACAAAGTGGACAGAACAGTTGAGATTCACATGACACCTGAGTATTCACTGATTTTCATCTTGAGGGTTATGAAGAAATAAGTCAATTTGGGAGATGGGAAGAAAATGTTCCTACACAGCTCTCAGTTCTCTCAAAAGAGACTTACGGGCACCTAAGGTAAAAACAGTAGGCTACAGACTCTGGATTCTGAAATTTAAAAATAAGAATAAAAACAGTCACTCCTTGCTCAAAGGAGCTAAAGTATAGTGGGAGGGACAGACATAATCACTGTAAAACAGTGTATTTTATAGAACAGATGTATGTTATGGAAACAGAGAAGCAGCACTCATTTCCTAGGGCAATCAGGATAGTTTTCCTGGAAGTGACATTCAAACCTGAGCTTAAACCTTAAAGAGGTAAGCAACAGACCATGATAAGGTGGAAACTAAGGAGAAGGGCATTCTTGACAGAAGAAACAGCCATGGAAAGGCCCAAGAGAAGAAAAGAACATCTGTTCGGGCAATGGCAAGAAGCACAGTTTGGCTGTATAAGGGAGTAAGCACAGGAAGGCAGGACCTGTCTAGAAATGCCCTTGATGGTGCCAATTCATAAAGGACTTTGCATGCCATTCAAATGAGCTTTGCCTTTGTATGAATTATGGGAAGCCACAGAGGGACTTTAATCTAGAAAATTCAGGATTAGATTTGTGTTATAGAAAAGTCATGCCAGGAGTGGCAGAAAGAACTGACTAGAGGAAGGATTAAGACTAGAGTAAGGAAAAAAAAAGGAATTCATCTAAGAGTGTGAAGCCTCAAATGACGAGAGAGTGCAGCACCAAAAATAAAACAAACCACAAAATACTGCACCTATAATTTGGAGAAAGGAGAGACCCAAAGACTGAGCACTTTTTGAGGTCAGAGATCATGTTTTTAATTCTACCATAGTAATTGCTCAAGAAATGTCGTACAAAGAAATGAATGCCCTAGGGGTACCTGGGTGGCTCAGTCAGTGGTTAAGTGGCTGCCTTCAGCTCCAGTCCTGATCCCAGAGTCCTGGGATGGAGCTCCCCGCTCAGCTGGAAGTCTCCCTCTCCCTCTGCCCCTCCCCCCTGCCCATGCTCTATCTCTCTCCCCCCCAAATAAATAAAATCTTAAAAAAAAAAAAAGAAAGAAAGAAAGAAAGAAATGAATGTCCCAAACTATTATTATGTATCCAAACCCAATGGACAGCAAGATTCTCTTAAACTGTTCTATGCTGATTTGATAAATGGTTAATGCTGTAGGGAAAGAAATGAAACATTGGACAACTTTTCAAGACAAATTTAATAAACATGCCTAGGTCTTCTGCAATTTAAAAAAAAAAACTCACTTCTTGAAGAGTTTTTGTAATCTACATTTTTTAAAATTTCAAAGCAAATTTCTAGTCTTCATCTTTAAAAGGTAATGAGTAATTTGTGAAACTAGGTCTATGGTAATCACTCTCTGCTTTCCAAATTTGAAATCACTTTTATAAAAATGAGTCAAGACATACAAACATTTGCATTTTAATATTTTAATTTTAAATGAAGAATAAGGGATTTCTTTCCCCCAACCTCCATGCCATTACTACATTACTTAGAAACGAAGCATACATGTATTCCTACCAAAGGCACCATACATGCACGTGGCTGCTATCAGTGCAGCCTACACTGCTCTCTCTCTCTCTCCCTAATTCCCCTGAATTTAACAGTCTCAGCTCATAATTAATGAGCTCTTTCTTCTCTAAGTATTTGTAACACTGCCAGCAAAATATCTTGCCCTGCCTGTGACTATCACCTGTGAATGACTGGTCCTCTGAAAAGCCAGGTGCCAGGGCTCCTCCAGAGTATCCCATGAAAAGTCAGACAAGGGGCACCTGGGTGGCTCAGTGGGTTGAGCCTCTGCCTTCGGCTCAGGACATGATCTCAGGATCCTGGAATCGAGCCCCGCATCGGGCTCTCTGCTCAGCGGGGAGCCTGCTTCCCCCTCTCTCTCTGCCTGCCCTCTCTGCCTACTTGTGATAGCTCTCTCTGTATAAATAAATAAATAAAATCTTAAAAAAAAAAAAAAGTCAGACGAGGCTTCCATAGGCCTCAGCCTCCATCTTCCCCCACACACTGGCCCACCTGGCACCTCTCAAACCTGTACTTTCACAATCCCAGGTCATCAGACCTCCTATTCCTTTGACCCCAAATGCCTTCTTTCCACCTCTTTTCCGCATAGCAAAATCCTACACATCACCTCAAACTTCACTCACATTTTACTCCCTTTGATTTACAAGTGTCTGAGTTTCCTGATCAATTCTTCTTTTGAGATTTTACATTATGTTCACTTTGCCATCATAGTACTTATCACATTACATTATAATTAGTTATGGATATCTCCTTTGTGCTTCTAGCCTGAGAACGTTTTAAGGCTCTGGACGCAATCTGGCAGTAGCAGGCACTACAAAAGGTTTATAGACTGAAAATATTATGGCCCACTAAGTGTTTGATAAATACTCATTCCCACAAATGAAAAGAAAATTTTTTAACTTAATGTAACCTCTTGCTGTTACTTTAGAGCCAATATTCCTTATGCAGAATGCAGTAAATAAGGGCTCCATGAATTCCCCAAAATGCTGTGTCTAGTCAGTACTTAGATTTCTGTCCCATTCTATTATCTGTGGCAATAAGCTCATTTGTTAGAACTTACTCAGAGTCTGAGAAACATGCTAGATCAGGCTATGCCTTCCTCAAGGCTAGATCGGTTCCATGATGACCCACTGCCTCCCAGAGCTCGGCACAAACTTCAAATAATCCTAAATTCCCTCTGCTAGACCTTCTGATTTTTCACTGTTTAGTTATTGTTGATATTGTTGATATATTTTAACTGTGAAATACTAGAAGGAACTTCCATGGCCAGCAAAAGGAGAATGCTAGTTAAATTAGAATACATTCATGTGTTGTGTACTATACAGTTATGTTAACAGGTTTTTTAAAGTTAAGTGGGAAAAAAAAAAAAGATGATGTAAAACTGCATGACTGTCCCCCCCCCCAAAAAAAGGCTGGATAAAAATAAACCAAAATATTAATAATGGCTGCCTCTGGAATATTTACATCTGTATAAGCTTTTGATATTCTTCTTTACACTTTTCCACATCTCTCAAATTTCCTACAATCTAAATACACTTTTTTCTAAGGAAAAAAATACATATAAATATACCTCTAAGGTACTGGAGGTTTCAGTTGTAGAATTTCCAGTATTATTGCTTGAGTTTGAAGACACTGTTTCATTTTTGCCTTCATTATCTGATTTTTCATCGGAACTCATACATTCAATATCTGCGTCAAAGCCCGTTGGGTATCCCATTGCTTGTAACACCTGTACAAATTACAGTAAGATTCAGTTTTACTCAAACATCAGAAACCACAGAGAAGAGATGAAATACTGAATACAAGTTTCAAATCCATAACATCTGAATGCACGAATCAGCTTGCAGGAAGAGCGAGAGGGTGCCTAAACCTACAAATCCCTGGTTAAACTAAGTTTACCTACTGAAGGTTCACCACAGAGAATGGGAAAACATCCTCAGAGTAATAAGGTTTAAATAAAGGATTAGAAAAATGCAAACCTGAGGCTACTACTGGGTCATTTAAGTTGAAGGCTGGGGATAGAGAAACAGAATGCCACTTTCAACCAAGGAGGTGAGGGGAAAAGTAAAATAACATAATGAAAAAGTACAAAGGACTATAAAGGAGAAGACCTGGCAGTCTAATCCTGCATTTCTCCTCTGGTCCTCAATTTTCCAATCTGGGAAACCGGAAGACTGATTAGCTGACCTCTAAATTCTATGATTCGATCCATAAGGGGAAATCAGCTCAGAGAGGGAATCAAGAAGTCTTCATGTTGGAACCAGTTTGCCTGTTAATGATATAATATCTGAAGCTTTCTACTACTGACCTCTTTGCTTTCAATTTAAACCATAATCAATACTTGAAAGAAAGGATTCAGTCTCAAGATTTATTTGCTATACTAGGTGAACCAGGAACAATATTAGGTTTGTATTTCTGACCCTGCCCCTCAAGGCCTAGTTACATTATGGCTTCCTCCAATGTCCATTCTTCTTCTTCTTCTTTTTTTTTAGATAGATAGATTTATTTATTTATTTGACAGAGAGAGACAGAGAGAGAGATCACAAGTACGCAGAGAGGCAGGCAGAGAGAGAGGGGAAAGCAGGCTCCCTGCTGAGCAGAGAGCCCAATGCGGGTCTCGATCCCAGGACCCTGACGTCATGACCTGAGCTAAAGGCAGTGGCTTAACCCACTTGAGCCACCCAGGCGTCCCTAATGTCCATTCTTCTTATATTACCATTTAATGCCTGGCATTTCTTATTTTTTAAATAAAGTTTTCTGAAGTGTGTGTGTGTCTCTGGGGGCATGCACGTGCCCGTGAGCATACACACATGTAAGCATGGCTTTTAGTATCTCCTGCCAGGTTATACAGCTTTTTAGAGGTTTACAAGAAAATACATTCTAGCATTTTTAAAAGCCTCTTTCAAATAGGCTAATATTGCACTGTCAGTTACTAATTTAAAGGTTTATATCAAAACATATGGATAGGTTCCTAAACATCTCTGTATTTGTTTTCAGCTTTTGACTAATGTTTTAAGTGCTAGAGTGTAAAAGCAATGTCATATTTCTTTACTATTCCAACTATACTTAGTGTCTCAAAAAACAGTTATGATAGTCCCACAAATGAGAGACCAGGCAACCCAAAGTTTATAAACAATGGCATCTTCTATAATGGATTCTGCCAATATAAATAAAATAGTACATTGGTAAAAAACGGACATAAGTAGAACTCTGTACCAAGAGAATTTGAAATTAATTCACCCAATTCATAAGGAAACTCTGGCATTCTATTGAACATTTCAAATCACAAGTCAATTCTTTGTAATCACTGGAAGAAAGCCAAGAACCTCTTTCCAATATCTTAAGTTTTAGAAGTTCTCAGGTAGTACGATAAAACTAAGTATATCAGTATCATTTGGCTTATCCTCATCAATATTTTATAAAGAAAACACCTCCACTGTATCAGTCCTGTAAATATGCTCTCCCTGAAAAATCTCATCTCTGAAAGAACAGTTATCAGTTTGGAATGAACACAAGCTAATACAGGCTAAAAGTCAAGAGTCATAAATAAATTTGATTTGTTTATTCCAATAAAAACTAAAGACATGCAGCTTTTCCAAATTTAACATAGACAGTTACAATTAGTCTAAGGTGGCTACTTAACACCACTTCTCCCTGTGCTTTTCTCACATATCATATTCATTTATTTACTTGTTATTGTAGCAACATACTTCACTATAGTTTATAAAACTGATGGATAATCTCAAGGGATACAATGTATTTGCAATACTGACCAACTAACAAAAAATGTCAAATTACATCATTTTCCTATTATTAGCTAGTATATGCTACAAAAGTTAAAAAAAAAATAATAAAAGTAATGAGTTCTCAGACCTCTAAAACCAAAGTTTGCTTGGAATCAATACTGAAGTCAAAAAATTGGTACATCAATAAAGTGAGCTTCAAGTGTCCAGTGAACAAATCAAATCTAATAAACATATCAATTGGGCTGAAAAATCACAAGATTATTCCTGGAAACAAGGTGACCGGGAAATCAGTGTAACGATGCCTTCCCCCCCCCCCCCCAGAAGGTGGTTAAGGCTGGGAAAGCTGATAACCTCAAAGAGTACAGGACAAAAGTGAAAAGAAAACACACGAAAACAAACTGTACTCTATGTCTCTCCACTCAAAAGAAAGTCCTGGGGGCGCCTGGGTGGCTCAGTGGGTTAAAGCCTCTGCCTTCGGCTCAGGTCATGATCCTAGGGTCCTGGGATCAAGCCCTACATCGGGCTCTCTGCTCAGCGGGGAGCCTGCTTCCTCTTCTCTCTCTGCCTGCCTCTCTGCCTACTTGTAATCTCTGTCAAATAAATAAATAAAATCTTTAAAAAAAAAAAAAAAGTCCTATTCACGGCTCCTCGATGGTGGAGAGCTGAGGGCTGCAAGAACCTCTCCCAAAGAGCCTTCACTCCCTGCCCTCTTCTAGCTGACCTTTTCTCCACAATGACTAAGATTCTTTTCATGGAATATGGCTGATTATGTTCTTTGTGAGGGACTATGGGAAAAAAAACACTGGAAGAGGAAATCAAAGATTGGCAACAGATCTCCATCACTTCAGGGTGTCTGCTGCTGTCTGGCCAGGCTCCTGTGGCAGGAACCACTTTTTCGTATTTTGCTTTCATTTGATTCTCTGGTGTGATTTGTCATGACAGGTAAGGACTCCTACCAAGCTTACTTAGTAGTAAGAAATCTAAGGATTTTTATCTAGCAGGATCTACTTTCATAAACACATATTAGATATAAAACACTCAAATTCATTTGTAAAAGAGAAGTTGAAACGTATATTAATGGCAAGTTGGCAATATACATATATGCCTGACATATAATAGAAAGCCCAATACCTTTTAGTGAATTAATGGATCATTCAAATATGCCCTCTTCTTAATCTAGAAATTTCATTCTGGAATGTATCCTTAATTGTTTGTTTTTTTTTTTGTTTGTTTTTTGTTTTTAAATTAAAGATTTTTATTTATTTGACAAACAGATCACAAGTAGGCAGAGAGGCAGGCAGAGAGAGAGAGGAGGAGGAGGAGGCAGGCTCCCTGCTGAGCAGAGAGCCCGATGTGAGGCTCGATCCCAGGACCCTGGGATCATGACCTGAGCCGAAGGCAGAGGCTTTAACCACTGAGACACCCAGGTGCCCCAATTGTTTGTTTTTTTAACATAAACTCTATACCCAACATGGGGCTTGAACTCACAACCCCGAGGTCAATAGTCGCATGTTCTACCAACAGAGCCAGCCAGGTGCTCCTAGAATGTATCTTAAGGGATAATTAGACTAGTTTAAATTTAAAGATATAAAGCACCAACTGGAAGCATCTATTTCTAAAATCATCAGTTATATTACAGTAGATTGAAAATAAACAAATATCAGGCCATCACTAAAAAGGAGAACAATCTTTGTGATAACTATAAAAAAACCTCATATTCTTAGATGAACAAAAATAATATTTGTTTTAATTATATATTTTGTATACACAAAGGTGTATACACACTACGTAGGTCCCACCACTCCTTATCTAAAAGGCTTGGGGCCAGATTGTTTCGGGAATTCATAGTTTTTCAGAGTTTAGAAAGCTAATACAAAATATTTACTATATATTTTCTGAATCCCCAGTTGAGCTCAAATGCTATCCCATGTTTGTGCAAAGGAACATATAAAATATTCACACTAAATGGAATAATGAAGACTAAAAGTAGTTCTATATCAATTCAGGTCAGGTTTTCCCATCAAGTGAGTTTTCATCAAACCTCGGAAATTATTTTTCATTTTCAGCACATTCTGGGTTTTGGAACTGCAGGTTAAAAAAGGTGGTGGAGCTGGGGGGTGCTTGGAAAAGTACATGCCAAAATGTTAATAGTAGTTATGAGAACAAATAGCATCTAAGTCCTGTCATATTATAAAATCTGCTATTCTTAGTCCCCAAATTTTACTGAATTGAAAGTTGATGTGAGGCCGCCAGCTTACACTAAAGGCAATTATAATAACCCACAAATTGTCACTGCATCACATATGATGTTAAAGGATGTCATGCAATCCTTTTTTATGAAGACCCACTTAAGGAGAATGCCCACTTGACCTCTACACCAAAACAACTATGATTCTTATAATCAACCGTTCTTACGTCTGTTCTTATGCCACTGTGAAGGGATATTTCACAAGCTTTTTGAGTCAGATCCTAGAGAACTGAGATTTGAATTTGTGATTCAGTCTCAGCATACATTACAGCTAAGTTATTGAACTGTATTTTTAGCTTTGTTCCTGGATTCATTTTTTCTGCCTCATTTTAAACTCTTACTATTTCATCATACTTGAAGTGCCCCTTTTATAAACAAGACACAACATAAATAGTATGTTGTTTTATATGTTTATAGTTCACTTATTATTTTCCTACACTGTGCACTTATTACTACCTGCCTTATCATTTATTCATTTGTATATTTGTTGTCTGTCTCCAATCCTTTCCACACTAGAACGCAGGCTCTAGGAGGCCAAGGGATTTGTTTTATTCACTACTGTATCCTTAGAATCTAGGATAATGTTCACATCTATGTTAATAATCCTTACAAAATGGAATGATCATGAAAAAAGACCAATTCTATCTTATGCTATACTGTTACATAACAGAACTTTTCTTAAATTAAAATTGATCTTTAACATTTTTACATTTGTCTATAAGAGAGCGAGTGTACTAAAAATTCCAGGATTTAGGGACTTTCTACAAACCTATAAACAACCATGATTGGTTGGTTTAATCCAGGACTGTATGCCCTATAGAAATACTCTGAAATACAGTAAAGGCACCAAATGCATGAAGATAATTAAATTTATTTATGACCGGAAAAGTCTACAAACAGCAAAATATTCAATGAATAGTAAAATGTCTAAACAAATAATAGTATATCCCTATCACGTTAATCATACAGCCATTAAAAATTATTTGTGAAGATTCTAATAATATGAGAAAACACTGATGACACAGTAAATGAAAAAAAAAAAATCAGAGGATAAATTATATACACTGTGAGCTCAACCTAAACAAACATCCTATATGTAAATATTAATGATCTGCCCCATGGTTTTTGTCTTTACTTTTCTCTGCATTTCCCAAATTCTATATAATCAATATATATTATTTCATAACCAAAAAAGAAAAATTTTGTAATCTAGAGGTGATAAAAGTCTTAAAATCATTATCATTAAAATTTTTAAAAATTCTGTTATTTTCGAAAAATAAGCACCTAATTTACAACATAAAATAACAAACCCTGCTAAATAAAAGCAATACTGTACCTTCACTGCTACATGAAGTTTTGCTGTTTTCTTGGATGGTCCTGAGGCTTCATATGTTGTACCGTCCACATCTACAGACATTGTGAAGACTGGGGCGTGAACAGGGCCAGATTGAGACAAGAGCTTATACTGAAGACCAGGCCTGATCTGATTTAGTCTCATTAGTGCGTTCATAAGGTCTATTGCTTTACTATCCAGAACTGTTTAAAACAAAAACAAAACAAAAAAAATGAGATAAGAAGTTAAACCATTTTGTTTTTAATCTATGCATCTGTAGATTCTAAGTGACCACTATAAATTCACCAGGCTTTAAAAAACAAGAATTTGAAAACGCATATACAAATTATTTTCACTTCATAAGTAATTGTAAAATCACTTTAATTATACTAACATTTCATTGTACAAGTGATATGAACTACTATAGCATCAATTTTAGTTTGTCAATACTAATATATCTGAAGCAAAGAAGCCTGAAAAGAAAATAAAGTTATCTAATCATCAATCTCTCAGTTAAGATATATTCTTAAAACTCCAATTCAAATCAAATTTGTCACTTTGTAATTTTTATTTTTCTATCAGAGACTACAGATCTTTTCACATCTCTAAGAAGAAAGGTTTTATATACTTTTCCGTAAGTTTCGTTTCATCTTCTTATTGGGATCTTTATCATCCCCTAATCCATCTTCAAATGGCCTCTTCAGAGCTGAAGACCCAGCACCTAAAAAAATTATGAGAGATTCATTATCAATCAAAACAATGTGTGTACTTACTCTGCCAAATGTAGCTAATATGGTCAGGAAGGAAAACCTTAGGAATAACAAAGACCACAGTATTTTCATTGATAAATTAAATTACCACATATATAATTTTATAATAGCAAAAATTCATAAGTGAATCTTTATGAAATAATTTAATACTATCCCTTTATATCAGTATTTATTTTCCTATTTATTCACATGTACTGATATAAACATTTACACAAATATCTTTGCATTTTTTACACCTGTATATGCATGAACAGGAAAAAAATCTAGAAAGATATATATCAAAATGTTAAAGGCAGTTATCTCGGGGGGAGGACTTGACTTATTTTTATTTATGTCTTTTCAGATATGTCTGTAATTTATTATTTGTATAAATTTTTAAGCCCACATATTAAGATCTTACTCTTTGGGGACTCTAATTCTCATACTACAAACCATTCTTTTGTCTGCCTACTCAAATCCTACTCAAGATTTTATTTACATAATCAAAGTAATGTGGTACTGGCACAAAAATAAACACACAGATCAATGGAACAAAATAGGAAGAAAAATCAGAAATAAACCTACACCTATATGTTCAATTAATCTTCAACAAAGCAGGAAAGAATACAGAATGGGAAAAGGACAGTTTCTTCAACAAATGGTGCTGGGAAAACCAAACAGCTACACCAAAAAAAAGAAACTGGACCACTTTTTTACACCATACATAAAAACAAATTCGAAATGGATTAAAGACATAAATGTGAGAACTTAAACCATAAAAACCCTAGAAGAGAACACAGGCAATAACCTCTTTGACACCGGCCACAGCAACTTTTTCCTAGATACGTCTCCTGAGACAAGGGAAACAAAAACAAAAATGAACTGTTGGGATTACATTAAAATAAAAAGCTTCTGCACAGCAAAAGAAACAACAAAACTAAAAGGCAACCTATGGAATGGGAGAAGATATTTGCAAATGACCTATCCAATAAAGGGTTAGTATCCGAAATATATAAAGAATTAACACAATTCAACACTCAAAAACCAAATAATCCAATTTAAAAATGGACAGGGGTGCCTGATTGGTTCAGTCCGTGGAGCATGTGACTCAATCTCAGAGCTGTGAGTTCAAGCCCCACGGTGGGTGTAGAGATTACTCTTAAAAAAACAAAAAACAAAAAACAACCAATAGTGGACAGAAGACATTTCTCCAAAGAACACATACAGATGGCTAACAGACACATGAAAAGATGCTCAACAGCACCAGTCATTGGGGAAATGCAAATCGAAACTACGACAAGCTATCACCATATACCTAACAGTATGGCTAAAATCAAAAAACACAAGAAACAACAAGTGTTGGTGAGGATGTGGAGAAAAAGGAGCCCTCTGCACCACTGGTGGGAATGCAAACTCATGCAGCCACTGTGGAAAACAGTATGGAGGTTCTTCAAAAAGTTATAAGTATAAAACTACCCTCTGATCCAGCAATCATGCTACCAGGTTACCCAAAGAATACAAAAACACTAATTCAAAGGGACAGAAGCACCCTGATGTTTACAGCAGCCTGATTCACAACAGCTAAGATATGGAAGCAACCCAAGTGTCCACCAACAGATGAATGGGTAAAGATGTGGTGTGTGTGAAGATAAACATATGGTATATCTCACTATTTTATATACACACACACCCTGGAATATTATTCAGTCATTAAAAAAAAGGATGAAATCTTGCCATTTGCAATGACGCGGGTAGAGCTAGAAAGTAGAATGCTAAGCAATAAGTCAGTCAGAGAAAGACAAACACCATGTGATTTCATTCACACATGGAATTTAAGAAACAAATGAGCAAAGGGGGAAAAGGAGAGAGAGAAAGAAAGAGATTAAGAAACAGACTCTTAATTATAGAGAACAAAGTGATGGTTAACAGAAGGGAGGTGGGGTGAGGGTTGAGTAAATGGATGAAGGGGACTAAGGAGTGCATTTGTCATGACAAGTACCAGGTAATATACAGAACTGCTGAATCATTATATTTTATACCTAAAATATAACACTGTAAATTAACTAACTAGAATTAAAATAAAAACTTCAAAAAAAAAGATTTTATTTACAGTCCATCTTCAACTTTCCTCTCATCTCAACTTTTTAAAATAATTTCTATGTTCTCAGAAACAGTATGACGTGCAGTCTTGTGCCATTGCCTACTTCAAATACAGAGATGTTGTATTTCCACTACACTTGGTGAACATCAAAGATACTTTCTCCTTCTCTTTTATTTTATAAACTAACATGAGGACTTATAAATGATATAATGGGTATGGAAAAAAAACTAAATTAACTGATTACCAATTTCTTGAACAAAGCAGCTAGCTAATCACACTGTCAGGCATAAGGGAGGAACTTGGCTGTCGAAGTTCAAAACAATCAAGGAAAAGCTCATCAGTATGTGTAAGGACTTAAAGAACTCTGTGTCTTCAACTTAAAAGTTCGTTGCTGGATTTTTCCAAAAGGAAAGTTATACTCAAGACATTCATTCCACAAGATTTCCAGATACTTCTAGTGAAACTCTGTAATTATAATGAGATTAAGTATATATTCTCTGATCATCAAGATTTACTGTCCCTTGTGGTAAACACTGACTTCAGCATTTGCTTGAGTCAATACTTATCACTCAGGTCAATCAATCTTGATGTTCTCTTGGACAAGAACAATATTTGCTTGTAACTGCTTAGTATCATATTTCACTTGCGTTACATAAAACTGTGAGTGTGCCAGTCTCCCAGAATGGAGTTCTTATGAGATAAAAGTTAAAAAGAAATGATGTCTATTCGATCACTCTCTTACTCATTAAGTTACATTAAAAGCTGCTTCCTGATTGCCTGGAAATCACAAACTGGCTTAAACACACAGATCTATCCTCTAAATCCTGCAGCTACATAAAGAGAGTTCCACAGATTAATAAGCTTCATTCTACCATCCCAGCCCCAGGGTTGTAAAATCTGGTGTTAATCATAATAGTAATGTGAACAAAAAAACAGGCTTGCTTTACAAAAAGCCAAGAAGTTTTCAATCTCATATATAATGTCCAGAAATGAGAAGTGATCATTTGAGAGGCAACAGTTTTGAAAAATAGTATGTATGGGTGAGCCCGGTGGTGGATATTAAGGAGGGCACATATTGCATGGAGCACTGGGTGTGGTGCATAAACAATGCATTTTGGAACACTGGGAAAAAAAATTAAAATTAAAAAAAAAAAAGAAAAATAATATATGAACTTACCATATGCCTGGCACTGTGCTAAAATACCTTAACTGTAAATGTCGTCACGTAAATGGATTAACTTATTTAATCCTCACAAGCACCTATGAAGCCCATACTTAAATCATAATTTCATACTTATATTCATTCAACAATAAATATTAATTGAGCATTTCCTTTCTTTTTTCCTTTTTAAAGAGAGAGGGGGTGGGGGGGAGAGAGAATCTTAAGCAAGTTCCACTCCCAGCGCAGAGCCTGACAGGGGCTTGATCTCATGACCCGGACCTCATGACCTGAGTCGAAACTGAGAGTCAGACACTCAACCAACTAAGCCACTTAGATGCCCTTAACTGAGGACAATTTTAGGTGCTGGACATGTAACAGAACAAAACAATGTCTCCTGGAGTTTAGGCACAGAGGTGGAAACTAATTACATGTCATATGATGGTCAGCAAATGGGAGAAAAATATGAGACTTGAGGGGGTGGAAGTGTTGCTATTTTGTAGGTGGTGCTCATCACTGATAAAGTGACCCTCTGATGAAGACCTGATGAAAATAACAGAGTGAGCCATTCAGCAATTTGGGGAAGAACCCCAGGCAGAGAAAACAGCAAATACAAAGGTGTTAAGATAGGAACATGCTGAGAAATACCATAAAGGAATGAGTGGTTGGAGTAGCCTAAAAAAGAAGGGGATGATTACAGAAGACAAGGAGGGGCGGTAACAATCAACCCTAGCTGCCACCAACTCACTAGAGGAACTTTTACAAAATACTTAAGTTCCACTTACCAGTATGAAAAGTAAGTAAATTCAAAAAGCCTTCCTGGGAAAAACAATTAAAAAAGAAATTCCTACAAAATGTAGGGGAAAAAAAAACTACTCCTGGACACTAAAGAACTGTGCAGTCAAGGGACGCCTGGGTGGCTCAGTTGGTTAAGCAGCTGCCTTCGGCTCAGGTCATGATCCCAGCGTCCTGAGATCGAGCCCCACATCAGGCTCCCTGCTAGGGATGAAGCCTGCTTCTCCCTCTCCCTCTGCTACACACTCTTTCTAATAAATAAGTAAAATCTTTAAAAAAAAAAAAAAAAAAAAAAGAGAAATATCAAAGGACCGAAATCATAAAAAGTATGTTCTCAGGTGGCAGAATAAGCAAGAACACAAAAAGAGATAACTAGAAAATCCTCATTTGTCTGGAAATGAAGCGATGACATCTAAATGGCTCATGTGTCAAAGAGCTGATAACAAAGGAAAATAAAAAATAGTTTTAACTAAGAATGAAAATACTCATGTCAAAGGAGTGTAGGGGCATGTGGATGGCTCAGTCAGTGGGGCATCTGCCTTTGGCTCAGGTCATAATCTTGGGGTCCTGGGATGGAGCCCCACATTGAACCCCACATTAGGATCCATGCTCAGTGGGGAGTCTGCTTCTCCTTTTCCCTCTGTGCTCCCTCTTGCCTTCACTCTCTCAAGTAAATAATCTTAAAAAAAAAAAAAAAAAATGAGTGTAACACGGGGTGCCTGGGTGGCTCCGTCAGTTAAGCATCCAATTCTTGATTTCAGCTCAGGTCAACATCTCACTCTTTTTTTATTATTATTATTTATTTATTTGAGAGACAGAGAGAGAGCATGAGAGGGGAGGTCAGAGGGACAAGCATAGTTCCCATGGAGCTGGGAGCCCGATGTGGGACTCGATCCCAGGACTCCAGGATCATGACC